CAGGTTCTGTCAAGAAGAGGAAGAAACCGTACTGCATGTGCTCTGTGAATGCGAAGCGATAGCAAGGCTGAGACACGTAAGATGCGGGGAAGAAAAACCAGAGGCTGCCAGCTATATGAAGGGGTCAGTGTCAAGGCTACGGAGTCTCATCAAAGAGATCAAGCTAGACAATGAGCTCTATAAACCAAGAAGCATCACAATAGATTTGATAAGGTCGCAGTGAATCAGTCCATGGGCTAGCTCCCCAACAATCCAATCTAATCTAATGAAAAAGAGAAATAAAACTTTCTGATTTTTCAACCACATGTATTCGTAACTAACGTTACTGCAGTTTTGTCATACAAGGACATTTTTAAACGAATACAATAAACTGAAAATAATTGATACCGTTAGCCCTTATATATCTAAACACCACCACTGTAGTAAATTTGACGTTTGATTTTTAGGTAGAAGATAGAGAAGATATCAAGAAAGAAAGAGAGATAATGCAGATGGTTCAAGACTTGGACCTTTCTGGAGACGAACTAGAAAGATCCGAAGTACCTAGAGGAATGTATGAAGCTAGAGGTATACCACCAGGACCTGTTATTGTGACAGCATCACAGATTAATGGGAAAGGACATCGACGATAAGGTGTGAATTTATAAGCGTTTCCGTAAGTTTTAGGACGAACCAATTTTTTGTCACTTTCTGATTCAACTCTGTTACTATACATAGGGTATATGTTTCATAATTCAGATATGAACAAATTGAGAACTAAATGTCATTTTTTTAAGGACAAATACAAGTACTACAGGAAAATCCTAAATCTAACAATGATAAAATTCATTTAATTCATTAAGAGTCTATATATATATTGAAAAATGTTATACTTCAAAATAGCAGTTTTGAAATATATATATATCGATTAGGAAAGAATATTGCCCAGTACATTTCAGATTGAGCTATATAATTTCTTGAATGATTATTATTTCGGCATTCATTGGAATATCTGATATGGTTATCCTTCAGCTGGTTCATGAAATGTTAATTCAAATATTTCTGTAACTAAATATTTGTTTTTTTGGGAGGGTAAACTGCTTCGTTACCTAACGCGTTATAGCGCATGTCTGTCTGGCTCCCCTTCCTCTCAAGCATACGTCAGCAGAAGGCAGGCTCTTCCTCTATCGCCGGACAGATGCTCACTGTGAGCGATAGACATATATTGTTGACAGTTTTATAAAAATCTAACCAGCAAGCACGTAATATTCTTTCATTTTGTGAAACGTGGCTTAAAAATGATGACACAAATTTTGTGTATGTACATTATTAGTATCATTATTTAATCCTACAAAAGTAAAAATTGGCTCATGGTAACTATAATTTATCTACATACACAAAATAATCAATAAGAGATTGAATAGTTCAACTTAGTCAGTGTTGCCCACTGACTATATATGAAAATTTTTCTTTCCTTTTCGAAGAATTGGGCAAATTTCAAATATGCGATTGGTAACCTCGTTCACAGGCAGATGGAGCGATGACAAACATGTTGCTTGTTGTCCGCTTCAGCCTAGTTCGATGAATAATAATGTGAAGGATATAATCCAACGCTCTTCGTGGTATTATTCAGGGAATAGTTATTTTCTGATAGGTGTTGATTCATAGCCAGTCTTCTAGTATGCCCAGTGACTATATATGTAATTTTTTTGCGTTTACATTGCAAACGCTGGCTGAACCCTACGATATAGATCAAGAGAAGTACTACAGTATTTGAAGAGGTCTACAAAAAAGTCCGCGATGGTATATGTCTCTTAGGTATAACACACAATAACCATTTTGTATTCTCGAGAAATAATGGCTCATTAACGAAGCGATTTTAAGCAATATAGCATTAATCTTCATCCAATTGAGTACCTTGAATACATTGTACATTTAATTTAGATCAAAATCACAACATATAATTGGAATGAATATTTTTGAAGATATTACAGAATTAAAATGCAGGGACATAGCGGTTGCGGCGGTAACGGCCGAGGGGCCGGCGACACGTGCCTATTTATGATTAGCAGCGATCGCACGCGTTTATATGTATATATAGTATCAGCATTGCACCCGTGCAGAGCCGGGGCAGGTCGCTAGTCATCGATAAATTCGACTCATAGTTATAGGAAATCGATATAATCATTTCTGTCAATTATTTATTTCAACAGAATTAAATTCAATTAAATGGTCTAGCGGTCGGTCGGTGGCCGATCGGTTCGACGTGGGTGCTTTGTTCACTCACTCAAACGACCGCCGTCTTAGTCGGTGTTTCAAGCCGCAGGCTGAACGGCCGATTTTCACTTGATATCGTCCAACCCGTGTTAGGAATCACACGTTAAAAGGTAAGACCTCGTTAGTCCTTAGCTCGCACAAGTTTTGACTTCTGAGGGTTGTCGTTCATAGGGTTCCGACAGCTGGTTAACGGGAAAACATATTTTGAACACAACATAACATATCAAGTGCACAATCCAACATGTTTATTAGCGTGGCCAGGTATTCAAAAAAGAATTGATTTGTCGTTCTTTTATCAGTTATATATCATTCTCGCTTTCCTAAAACAATAACTCGTAAAACGTCGTTTCCTTCCAATCACATCATTCGTGAGGATTCACGCATGGTAACAGATGGTAATCAGTTCATTACCCATGAAAACTGGTACATTTAACATACAAAGAATGATTTGCCATTATTTTGAAGACAATAACGTTGAGTAACCGGTGGAAAGTAAGTCATCACTGTAGATTTTCTTAATCAATGCAACTGAATGTGTTGAATCGATTATTGAAGGAATTTTAACATATGACATAACTGTGTCAAACCGGGTTTGTTGGGTCTGCGGGTTTTTATGCTTGATGTTTTGTCAACAACTGCAGTATATATGTAGACAACGAACACAGTGTTTAATATACGAGTATTCTAGGCGATGTACTACTACTAACTGTAGTAGGTATATACAAAATATCAATGATCTTCGCAGGTATCAGACCGTATAGATAGATTAGCTTATGGAATAACCTTATTTCATACAAATTGCCTACAATACATTTCGAAAAGCTACATCCTATTATGATTGGAAATAGTTGTTATGTCACAGATATTTTCCGGGTTCATTGTGCGTGGTCTGCAGATTTTTATCATCGTAACATTGTACTTGTGGTAAAACCTAGCACGACTTATATAACCTATAATGGCTTGAAACAGCGCTAACTGGTGTTGAACCACAAATGTTTCATTATTTGGGCTCTGGCTTCAACTAGTATTCTTGAAGTGAATGATGCAGAAAAAGACAGAAGACAAAATCGTTTTTGGAGGACGATGTCGAAGATTGGCTTCGCAATTGATCGTTTTTTGAAAACTCGTTCATCTGTGATTCCGGAGAATTCAGTCTATGACCTACTTGTCATACCACTAGCCTGTCCAATTCCTCTGAAACCTCAAACTGGGGTTTTCCTTTCTTTGAGGTAGTAGATGTTTCAGCAAATACAATCACCTGGATTGAAAGCAGTAGGTTAGGTTAGGTTATGTTAGGTCCAAAATAACTCGCGGTGGGTTGCGGTGGAGTGGGTTGCGGTAGAGGGCAGTATATGAGTTCCTTTTATCAAACCTGTTTTCGTTTTGTCACTGGTCATTTAGATTTCAAAACAACACAAAAAATTTGAAAAAATTGATGAAATCTTTATTGAAATCGATAGAACGATCAATATAATTTGATGTTTGTAGATGATTTCATGCAAATATTGTCCGCGGCTCCGCTTTAGATGGCCTATGCGCAAGGTCCAATTTTGGCTCACTCTCTCGTAACATATCGACCGATATTTTACGTATAAATGCTTCAATATTGGCTTCCAGAGCGTCAGTCATTGCTGGTTAATCTCTGTATCCATTGTGTATCCAAAATGTGGATCTTCCTCCAAATTTGCCAGCGCCCATTCACCAAATGTTAGACGTTGTGGGACGTCGTGTGATTTCAATTCTTGCACCAGCTGTACCTAACTTATAAGGTCCTCACTCTACGTATGCGTGTTGGTGGTTTAATGTCCAATATTGTAAACTGGGTTCGAAATTTAGTCACAAGCTTCCGAATAGCTCCCTCAGTAGGCCGACGAAACTGTCCATAAATTGGAAGAAGTGCACGATGCACTTTCTTCACCGAGCATGAATTTTGATAATAAAATTCGATAATTTGCGAGCGTTGTTCATTCGTAAGTCGATTCATGGTTGAATTATAGACCAAACTGAACAAGTTTGATAATGGCACAAGACACGATTCACGCGTGATGTGTCAAAAACAGTGTTGCCAAAAAGATACCAGCAAAAAAAGCACTCATTATTATAGAATTGTTGAGTGTATACTCTCGTGGATAGACATTCTCCATTTTCCATTCAAAAAATGATACTTTCTCTACAGCAGAACCCCAAGGTCATTCTATTTGGTCGAATGTTTCGACCAAATAGGACCAGAACTTAATAACACTGTTTCGATCCACCATACTCATTACTGGTGCTGGGATACACTTCACTATTGTTGAAGGATAAGCCTGAGGAATCGGTAATGCCACTTTCCCATACGAAGACTCATTCTATGAGATAAATGGAAGACTCGGTACACAAATTGTAATGATAAATGAGGTATTTCAGGGCGGTTGATTGTAACATCAACCACCGAACAAGCTTTTAGGAGTCTCGTTTATCTCTCACATTGGATTCAGTTATTTGTCTATACCATATATGGCATCTTTGAAAGGGAAGATATGTCATCGTAACATTGTACTTGTGCACGACTTATATAACCTATAATGGTTTGAAACAGCGCTAACTGGTGATGGACCACAAATGTTTCATTATTTGGGCTCTGGCTTCAACTAGTATTCTTGAAGTGAATGATACAGAAAAAGACAGAAGACAAAATCGTTCTTGGAGGACGATGTCGAAGATTGGCTTCGCAATTGATCGTTTTTTGGAAACTCGCTCATCTGTGATTCCGGAGAATTCAGTCTATGACCTACTAGTCATACCACTAGCCTGTCCAATTCCTCTGAAACCTCAAACTGGGGTTTTCCTTTCTTTGAGGTAGTAGATGTTTCAGCAAATACAATCACCTGGATTGAAAGCAGTAGGTTAGGTTAGGTTATGTTAGGTCCAAAATAACTCGCGGTGGGTTGCGGTGGAGTGGGTTGCGGTAGAGGGCAGTATATGAGTTCCTTTTATCAAACCTGTTTTCGTTTTGTCACTGGTCATTTAGAGTAATTGTCAGGTATATTTCCAAACTTTATCCAGTTTTCGTCGCAGTTGTTGTCAAACTTATGGTTGCATTTCTCTGTCCCACATTCTGAATCACGGATCAAAAGAAAGTTTCATTTCTAGCCCGGAAATATCGTTTTCATTTGTGGGTCTACAGAAAAGTTCGCGATGACATTTATCTATCTTTCAAGGATAGCATACACACTCATACTTATATTTTAACTTATATTGCGCTGATTGGAAACCCATTCAGATGGATACGATACCACTCCTCATCAAATGAAATATGTTAGTTACCTCAAACATTTCATTCACATAACAATTTCCCTTCAAATTATACAGTTTGATATGTAGGAGTTATCGCAAAAATCAAATTTATCGCGCAACAATTTAAATTCAAGTGAAATCAATAACCGACGCGACACGCGTAATGAAAAATGGTTGCAATTGCATTGGTTTTGTTTTACGTAGTGAGTCACTTTGAAGGTTAAGCTCGTATTTTTGTTTTCTGTTACAATTTCAAAATTGAAATCAAAAGATCAAAATAAAAGGTGGTACTCATGTTTTTCATTTCATTTTCAGATGGACAAAACATAAGTTATGAGTGATTCCACACGATGTATGTATATTCCAATTACATTAAGTAGTTTATGGAATGTATCTTATGTAAATAATGTTTTGAACTATATTTAGTATTTTTTGTTATTTTTTGGTATTCAAAATTTGCTCAATTGACCAATATTATAATATGTATATTTAGGCTTAGAATTGACGAGAAAAATTGTTGTATTGATGAAAATGTACTTTGATGTGAAAATATGTACTATTGTTACTCTTTTACACTGAGTTTAATGAAAGTGATTGATTATATTTTCAGTTGTTTGAATCGGAATTGCTAATCATCAAACAAACTTATTTTGATATCGTTGCCAATTAGAGTTGTGTCAGAAGTTCTCGAGACAAAGATGGAATATCATAAGAATTCCAAAATAATTTATTTTAAAAACTACATTTTCATGAAAAACTAATAATTTCTTCAATGCAAAGCTCCTGAGTAATTCTGAATCAAAATATGACTTGTTCAATTTTTATTTTTTATCAAATGAAAATAGCTTTTATCATAATATTCCATAACATGTGATGTTTGTTGTCTTTAATTATTGTCATTTATGTATATTAAGAAGAAATTCACATCATTAGTATATTAAGTAGATTTTGAAAATTATTTGTGAGAAATTTTATCTTTGTAAATATATTGAATATTATACACCTAACAATAGTCTAGGAATAACATTAACACTGGTACTTTCATTTTCATTCAGGAAAATCAATTATAAGTGCCATTATAAATCAATAGAACAGTTCATTAGTCATTTCCAAACCAGGCATTTACAACATCGAATATATTTTTCTCTTTAGTGTTTATGTAAGTCAGTGATTTAATTTTGTATATAAAAAATATATGTTTTTACTAGTTTTTCGACTATTTTTGTAATTCAATTGGTATTTGTTGAAAATGAAATGAAAATATCAGGATAACTCTTTTTTAAATCAGCAGTTCCAAACTGGGATACCACTTTCGAATAACAATTCAACTTCTCATGACCACGAATACTAAGAAAAAGAGAAGTTGTTCAATATTCTTAGAATTAAAATATTGGATCTTTGAAAATTTCCCATTATCTTCTCGAATACTTTGAATTCACACAGTAACTTATTGGGGTGAATTGAAAAGTTTGGCCTTTCTACACGTGTATGGAGTATTCCGTTACAATTTTCATATTTTTCTAATTGTGGATGATGAAAATACCCGATAAAAATCTCTGTACTATTTCGAGTGATTTTTAACATTTTCATTCTTTTTTTCTTCGAAAATATAAATAATATTGAAAAATGTGTTCACGATACTTCTCAAGCAACAACATAAAATGATGAATCACTAAAAAATTCAAATGATATGGTTATTCAGAGATCGTCCACCAGAAGTAGTTCCAGATTTCAGTTTTTTCAAGAACAAAATACAAGCACTACAGGAAAATCCTCAAGGCGCTCTAAGAACGGTGCCTGAATCGCTGGATATTAAATCCATTTGGAAAAACATGTTTGGAAAGTTTACTCCACTAAAGGCAGTTCTCCAGATGGAAGAGTTCTTAAACAGTGAAGTTTGAGGTGTACTGAGTTGAACCTCAAAACGATGAGCAGCCACAGTCCGTCGCGTATTTTTTATATGTACCGCTCTTGGTGGAATCAAATGTGCCAAGTCACTTGAACACTTCCCGTGAAAGAATCTGTGAAATAGAGGTTTATCTCGACACTTTTTTCGATGTTCCAGACTATCAAGGTTGCAAGTAATGTTTGCGTCTGCAATCAGGCGGATGACTCTTTTCTGGATGGAATCCAGTAGCTTCAAAATTCTTGTTAATTTGTCAATAAGTCGCTAATATACAATAAAAAGAGGGTTGGAGATAATATGTATCCCTGGGAACACCATCAGCGTTGATGGTAAAAGTATTAGAAATACATCCATCGACGGCTACCTGAAGTCAACGTTCTTTCAGGAAGCTGGAGAGCCATGCACAAAAATGATCCGACAAGCCATAGCATCAAAGTTTGGCCAGCAAACCCTTATATCACACAGAAATATCAAGTGCAACAGCTTTTTACTTGGTATGTTTCTCGGTTGTGTTATGCCAAATATGGGTGGTACACGATAGAAGGTCGCCTGTTGACCTTTGTTTCCGAAAGCCTCATTGATGATCGCTCAAGATGTTGAAGCCTTCCAAATATTTGAGGATATGGTGATTTTCAGCTTTCTCCATGATTTTTGATATCACTGATAGCAAAGCAACTGGTCTTTAGTTATTTGGAACATTTTCTTGCCCTTTTTGGGAATAGGCTGAATGCGAGCAATCTTCCAACAAGAAGATAAAACTCGTTTGGTGTGAGACAGGTTGAAAAGTCTGTGCAACTAGACTAGGTTATTTTGCAACAGGTATTCAAATATAAAATGGCCCAAACAACATAATATAAAACTTAGACTTGCTACTGAAACGTAAGTTGGATTTTTCAATATTTTGTAAATCATAATTAAAACCAACTGTCGTGCTTTAATGTAAATTGAGTATATTTTATAACTGAGTACCTATTACCTAATCCTGCATCAAAAACTTCCGCTATTGCTACATTCCGAAAAGTTCATTATAATATTATCTTTGTCACTTGATACTTCAGAACCTGACAACCTTTTATCTTTGGCCGGCCGAGATTAGTGCTGTTGGGGTACAAGAAGTAAAAATCATATTCAAACGAAATCCAATGTACACCTTTTGTCGATAAGAATGGTGGTTCATAAATCTCAATAATGAAGTTATTGAACATTTCTCTGTATCAACATCTTGATTGATATGACTGATACTTGATGAATATCCATAATTACCAGAAAATAAATGAAAAAATACTTAATTTTTAAATATCCACAATATATTACTATTTGTAATATGTGAAGCGTTTCGATATTCGTATAGCTTTTAAAAAAATGGCATCCAGTAAATGAACAGAAATATTTAAAGTAGTTTGAAATTAGGTGAATAGAAGGAGGTGGTAATTATAAATGGATAGCCTAATACAATACTACTATAAACGTGTCTGCACATTTACTGAATATCATTTTTGTTTGAGAAGCTAAACGCTCCACATATTTCAAATAGTAATAAGTATATATTGGATATTTAAAGAAAAAGTGTAGGTATCAATTTAATTCCTAGTAATGACGAATATCTATCAAGTATCTTTCAAATCAATCAAGATGTTAAAAAAAGCTAATGACAACTTCCTTACAGACTCCTTCTTGAAGTGAAGTAGCCAAGTGTACACAAAATTCGTGGTTTTTGAAACAGCGTTCAAAGAAGAAAGTGGTTTCCAAATATATCAAATTGAAGACGAGCAATAACAGCAGTGCAACCCAAAAAGAAATACATGAAGGAACAAAGAAATTATTTGAACAATACATTAAGATAAAATTTAACAGAAGAGACAACAACTAAACTCATGCTGAGGGAATTCATTCAGAGTTAACACATAGATTGCATCCAATAGAATTCAATATTTTAGATTCGGAAACTAGATCAAAAATAGTATTTTATATATAATAAATTCACAGTTCAAAGAAACAAATTGAACTTATTAATTCAAAATAAACCCTCAATAAATCACAAAACGAATACTGAATATTCAGATCATCCAATTTTCAACCGATCCATCAATCTATCTGACACCAAATTTGATTAAACAGAAATTTCCCTCCTCGAGAAAGGTTTGAACATGATTTAAAATCGTCATATCCCATGTAGCATTTTCCTCAGGAATACTTCTGACAATACTCATTTGAAATGCCAATTAGATTCCAGAACTGAATTAGATTCGCCATCAATAACTTTAAATAAATCATTTCAGAGAATGACAAAAATAAATTTATATTACCGAATCCTCAACCTCCATAGCTATATTCGTTAGTCAAACTTCATGAAACAGGTTACCCCATAAGACTATTGGTATCATACTGTACAGTTTAACTTTCCAATATATCTAATAGTTCACATCAAAATTGTTGATTAAAAACTCATATGAACTAGTTAACAAAATAAAAAATGTCAAACTCCCACCAAACTCAAAATTAATTTCCTTTGACGTAAAAAACTTTTTCCATGTGGAAACAGTTATACTTATTGATGAACTGTTAACACGACAAAAAGTCAACCCAGTAATCCATACAGAAATAATCTTGTGACTAGAATTTTGTATTGTAAATTTGTATACACACCTTAGCAACTTTCTCATGAACGGAGCTGTGCCACCTGAAGTTGCTGGATTCCATCCAGAAAAGAGCCATCCACCTGATTGGGGGCGCGAACATCACGTGCAACCTTGACAGCCTGGAACATCAAAGGAAGGTTGGAGATTTGTCTCTCTTCTATAGATACTTTCACGAGAGGTGTTCAAGTGACTTGGCACATTTGACTCCACCAAGAGCAATACATATCAGAAATACGCGACGGACTGTGGCTGCTCATCGTTTTGAGGTTCAACTCAGTACACCCCGAACTTCACTGTTCCAGCGATTCAAATCCAATATGAATCGCTAATTTCGCACAGGCACCGTTCTGAGAACGCCTTAAGGATTTTCCTGTAGTGCTTCTGTTTTGTCCTTAAAAAAAATACACGGATCTTTTGTTCTCACATTCTGATTTATAAACCTGAATTGCCCTTTCCTCAATATTGATATACATTTTTTTTAAAGTCTATTGTTAGTTTCGGAGTGTCCTTACCATATGTACCTTATTAAACGTTATACTTGGATCATCACCTTTGGAACACCCACATGAGAAGCAATATCCCCTCATTTTATCCAATACTCCAAATAGCGAACAACTGAACGAATCTATTATCAGTAAAGATAATTTTTTAAATTTGGCACAATGCTAATATGTCAACGAAAGTCAACCTCCGCGGTTTATTTCCGATCACCTCACACATTTGTTTCTAAGAAAAAGTATCAGTTTTGGCAACATTATTTATCAAGGATCAATAAATGACTAA